TCTTGCACCTGGCTGCTGTCTCCGCCATAGCGTGGATCACCCCAAGTCACAACAGCCCCGAAGTGTAGAATTTGCAGCAAAGGCACGCTCAGCTGTCTGCGCCCCAGTCTGCATCACCCCAGGTCACAACTGCCCCAGATTCAAGAATGGCAGCAAAAGAACAGGTAGTTGCTTGGATGTGTCGGACGCTTCTCAGCTGCTCTTGCACCTGGCTGCAATCTCCGCCATATTCTGGATGACCCCAAGTGACAACTGCCCCAGATTCAAGAATGGCAGCAAACGCACCATCCGCAGTTGCTTGGATGCACTGGACGTTCCTCAGTTGCTCTTGCACCTGGCTGCTGTTTGCGCCAGAGTATGAATTGCCCCAGGTCACAACTGCCCCAGATTCAAGAATGGCAGCAAAAGCACCGCGACTTGCTTGAATATGCTGCACGTCCCGCAGTTGCTCTTGCACCTGGCTGCTGTCTGCGCCAGAGTATGGATTGCCCCAGGTCACAACTGCCCCAGATTCAAGAATGGCAGCAAAAGCACCGCGACTTGCTTGAATATGCTGGACGTCCCTCAGCTGCTCTTGCACCTGGCTGCTGTCTCCGCCATAGCGTGGATCACACCAGGTCACAACAGCCCCGGTGTGTACAATAGCAGCAAAGGCACGTTCAGTTGCTTGGATGCACTGGACGTTCCTCAGCTGCTCTTGCACCTGGCTGCTGTCTCCGCCACATTCTGGAACACCCCAGGTCACAACTGCCCCAGATTCAAGAATGGCAGCAAAAGCAACGCGATTTGCTTGGATCTGCTGGATGTTCCTCAGCTGCTCTTGCACCTGGCGGCTGTCTGTGCCCCAGTCTGCATCACCCCAGGTCACAGGCTGTGCTCGACATTCCTGAGCAGCTCTTGCACCTGGCTGCTGTCTGCCCCCCAGTCTGCATCACCGCAGGTCACAACAGCCCCAGATTCAAGAATGGCAGCAAACGCAGAGTTGGTTGCTTGGGTGTGCTGGATGCTCCTCAGTTGCTCTTGCACCTGGCTGCTGTCTCCGCCACAGTCTGGATCACCCCAGGTCACAATTTCGGGCCCATGCCATACAAAGCAAATGCCTTAGCGGTGGCAGCCAGTTTGCCCAGCTCCGCAACTGCAGCCACTATCTCCCCATCTCCCAACCCGGCTTCGCTCACCGTGGCCGTCAAATCGAGCCGCCGGCCTTTCGCAGTGAGCTTGAAGGGGCGCTGGAAATGCTGCTGTGCTGCAGCCTTTAGCTCGCTGACGAGCATCGCCGGCGAGACTTCCACGGAGCAACCAACTCCATTGGGAAGGTAAACATCCACCTTCATCGCGCCTTCGGAAGTGTCTACAAGTATTCAGTACACGAACATCCAGAAGGTAATCATCGCGCCTTCGGAAGTGTCTACAAGTACTCAGTATTCACGATGAACCAAAGCAGAACCACAAACACCACGAATCGGATTTGGTGGATGTGTTGAATGAAGCTACATATCCCAACCCTCGGCTTGTTCGAAAAGATCCTTCACCGAAACCCTCTCAGCTGACTGAAGCTTGGCTGAGACGCGAGCTTCAAACGACCAGGCGATTCGGTGAGCCATATCCAAAACCCATTGCCATGTGGTTGACGGATTCATTAAAGGGGCCCCCAAAGAATTTGAGGCGACCCAATAAAAGAAACCGCTAAGTAATGCCGACTTCGGATTGATCTGAAGGGCCAGGTCAAAATTCCACTACCCTTCTCGAGTTGCTCATCGGAAGGAACTCAGCAAGGGAGCTCCTCTCAGTAGATTCCTTTAAACAAAGACATGGGTCTGGACATCTATGATTTTTCTCTCCGGGGGGAGGGAGTTTCCAAGTTCATGTCGCGGAAACGTCAGAAGCACCCTTACACCCAATACCCGTTTTTAAGGGTGTGATGTTGGCCCTCTACTCTTGGCTGGAATTAGGACCCCAGCAAAAAAATATCTTATTTTTTTGCTTGGCTAGTGGAAAACAAAGGGAACCCCAAAAAAATGAAAAGAGGGGAGCTATTTCTGAGGACGTACTAAGAAAGGGATCGGCATTTGCCACGGAAAACCGGTTTTCCGAGGATCGATTTCCCAGGGCTGGCGAAGGGAGCCTTTGGGCGCTTTGGGACGCTTGTGCGGGTCTAGATCCTTGATTGGTTTGGGAATGGGGGAATGGGTTTGGGGTTGGTTTGGGGGTTGGTGGGTTGATTTGGCGCGGCTTTAGGTCTTGGGTGGGTTTAGGGATGGATTTACGATTGTTGGCTTACAGCAGGTTGGCGCGGGGTTGTTTTAGAGCGAGCTTAGGCCCAGCGTTGAGATGGTGGGTGGAATCGTGGTGGATTCATTCGGGGTTGGGGCGGGGCTCAAGGCGGCTTGAAGGTGGATCTGGGGTTGATTTAGGGTGGGAGTGGCAAAAAACAGAAACAAGAAATGGATTCCGAGAAACGGGAACACGAGAAGCAATTAACAAAAACCCGCCAAACAAGAAACAAACACTAAAAGCAAACAAGAAAACTAGAAACAGGGCATCATGAAAACTGCGAAGCTGCAGTGACAACAAACAAAACACAGCAAAAATAGGAAACTATCCAGCTGCGCTGTGTGTCTTCGAGCTCGAAGAGCGAGGGCAACCCTACCCGTAGGGTAGACCGCTGATGTGTTTTGTTGCACCCCAAGCTCGTCCTCAGCATCCCCTGCATCACCTGCACCCAGGCCAGTGCAAACATGTGAACCCCAAAACATCCCCGCCATCCCAGGCCTTGCGACGGGCTCCTAATACCACGTTGCAAGTCGCCACCGACAGTTGCCGGCATCCCCGCCAGCCTCGCCAACTTCACCAGCATCCCCGCTCAAACCCTCAACAAATGGCCCCCTGAGAGTAGGTTTCGGAGGTGGGCAAACGTGGCGGCCATGTTCGCAAGCGGGGCCGGCGCCACTTTGCAGAAAACATCGCACATACCGTTGTTGTTTGTCATTTTTTGATGGTTTCTACAGGGCTTAGGGTATATGCCGGGGATGCCGTCTTACTCTGGTTGGCTTTGGATGTGCGCCACGTGCGGCGCGCACGCGCGCAGGCCGCACACGAGCACGCACGCGCGCGCGCGCTAGGGTGGTGAGTGCGTGGGTGGGTGGGTGGATGGGTGGGTGGGCGGGTAGGTGGGTGGCCGGGTGGGGGGTGGGTGTAAAGCAAGCGCGCGACAAACTACATGAAAAACACAACACGACTAGAAACCAACAAAGCAACGACGCGCAGAGCAGCAAGAACAGAACGAAACCACAAGAAACACGTGCAACAACGCAACAACACAACTCGAAACAACAAACAAAGCAATACAAACAAACAAAATAATCGATTGAGCAAGCAACAATCACACTAACTACACTACACATTAGAAAGCTATAGAAAGCAAGAAACACACATATTAACAAGAACATAACACAAATCACAACGAGAACGCACCAACAACTCAAAGAACCAAAGTAAGAAACCAGGAACGCAATAAGACAAGAACACGTGAAAACATTCGAAACACGCAAGAACACGGATCCAGGTTGTTCGTCGCAGCGAATTCTTTGGTTTCCAGCCTGCAAGCACCCCGGGCACTTGACATCCATGAAGAAGCCTCGGGAGGTTAGGATTTTTGGATTCTGCGGGCGAGGGGCGTCCTGAAAAAAGGTTTTGTTTTTCAAGGGAAGCCCAGAGGAAAGAAAAACACCATTCTGTGGGTTCTCTTTAAAAAAAGACGACCCCAAAATGGGTGTCTTTTTGGTAGGCCCCCCTGTGGTTTGAACAGGCCCAAAGGAAAACCGACGATTTCCGCCAAAACCCCCAAAACTCCCCCCCTTCCCCGATTTTGACAGCAGTTGGGTGAAGCCAAAGGCGGCAGAACTTGAAAACGCACCATATTCTGAGAAGACCTCTCAAAAGAACGTCACATGAGTCAAAACCCCGTATCAAAATGGTTGACCCAGAGCGATGTAAGGACATACAAAGGCGGCAGCTGTTTCCGGCTGGGACTGTCCCTTACTAGCCTTCTACCCGGGCTTGATTGTGGCTCGCATGGGGCCTTGATCAAGATTCCATTTAGGGTCCACAATGACCATGGCCTCACTTTTACCGTTTAGTGGTGAAAGTGATCTTTTTCGTGGTTTCCATGGAACCTTTTCATCAACCGTGTGGAATTGCTATTCAAGACCAATCACACCCAAGACCTTGACAGGTCAGACACGTTTCGGAAGCGGGCAATGTGGTGCTTCATGGGGGCTGGGAGTGAGGGGGGGGGCAAGTAAGCAGTTGTTTTTGGGCCTTATGCTGGGCCTCACCCCCAGCCCCCAGAAGTGTTGGGCTCGACGAACGGCCAGGTGTCATTTGGGGGATATACCGGGCGACAAAACAAGGTGAACTATTCCAGTCCGCCAACCAGACACCAAAACCACCGGGAATTAAAAAACAAAACAAAAAACACCCAAAACACCCAAACCATCCCGAAGAAAGCACTGACCACAGACACACCGAAACAGGCGCTACGAACACCCTACCCGCGCCAAGAGAAGGCGGAAGCCAATGAGGAAGCGCTCTTCAGGCCCCTTAGGTGTCACGCAATCCAAGATCCCAAGATTTCCCTCAAAAGTCTCCCGGTAATCTTGGATCTTGGATCCAGATTCCTCAATACAGTACTAAGAAACCTGAACACCGCTTCTAAGGGTTCAAGGGGGCAATACCGGGTATTAAGAAAGCTGATTGGCAGTACTAAGAAACCTTAAGACCGGTATTAGAATGGCACGCCCCTTTATTTGGTGCCCATGGTTGGCCAATAACATGAACATATCCTGAAAAAATGGCTAAATGTAGAGAAGCGGGGGCACCAGAAAAGGGGGTACGATATATATATATATATATATAACATATACATATCCAAAATCATCTACTGATTTCTTGATCTATCTGGCTGTCTCTCTCTCATTCGTTTCATCGAGCACGTTTTATTATTTATCCGAGGAGCTGTTGGGAGACTGGATCATGCGCTTCAGCTTGTGCTTGGCCTGTCGCACTCGGGCGATCGACCACATTTAGACCCATGGCGGGCAGAAAGACCGATGCATCGAAAAAAAGTGGAAATCCTTCACCAGTTCAAGGAAAACACCCCTTGCGAGTTCTTAGCTACCTGGGACCCCATATGGACGTTTTTTTTGGTCATACGCCTTTGACCAAAAAAAATGGCCATACAGTTTTTCACGGCTTTTTGTTCAACAACATGTCGAAAAAATATGGGTTTCATACGGGTGATTTACGCAAATGGCCGAAAAATCATGGCCATACGGGCAAATACGGCCAAATACGGGAGTTTGACCGGGAAAAAAAAAAAAAAAAAAAACAGCCATACGGGGTGCCAGGTAGGTACTACTCCAGGGTCGACACGGTCGGCAAGTCGCGTGGAGCTCTGAGAAAAAGGTAGCAGAACCGGGCGGCCATAGGAGTATGGAATCCCTAAGGGGGGTAGGTACAATGGGAGTAGGTAGTACTGTGGAATGATGGTTCCCCTGTAAATACCAGCAAACAATGCTTTCCCATGGTTTCAAAGTGGTGTGAAATGGATTTTGTCCATCCACAGTACGGTTCTTGAGGGTTCCCTAGGGCCTTAGGGGAACCCCCCTTGGACCACCCACGTCAGGACTCCGTAGGCTGGAATTAGCACCCCAGCAAAAAGATATATCTTTTTCGCCTGGTTCGTGGAAAACAAAGGGACCCCCACAAAAGCAAAAAACAAAAGATAGTTTGACCAACTTGTTCTCCAAATACCTCCAATGTAGGTTGAGAACTCTGGTGGGCAAAAAGTTCGACCCTCTGGGATCCGTGTTGGCGCTTCTTCCTTTAAAGTAGTAGGAAGGTGAACAAAACAGGGGTCAGAAAAATGCCACGGTCCAAAGACGGGGGAAATTGAGATCTTCGGCTTGAGATTCGGTACCCTCTTTTTGGTGTTTTAAAGGGAAACCAAAAGGAACACCACCAATTTGGGAGGTCCCCCAAAAAAGACACACCCAAATCTGTGCGCTTTCAGAGAGTGCTCTTGTTTTTCAGTTGCTGGATTTCCCCCCTCAGCCTCCAAAACAAAGTTTGATCCAGTTTGCTGGTGGATTTCATTCAAAGTGCCACTTGAGGTCCCAAAAAGGCACGAATTGAGGGACACAAGTCGGGAAGCCAAAGGAAAAATGGAAACGAGTTGGGAACAAGTTGAGAAGCCAACGACACAAAGTCGCCGGGACACAAGTCGGGAAGCCATTGGGAGGGTCCGACTCCTATTTGAACTACCATGGATTTGGAGGTGTCAACTCTGTGCGTTTATTCAAATACTCCGGACTAGGCTCCAAAAACAAAAAACTGGGGTCCTGGGGAACTTGTCCGGACCCTTCAGTTTTTGGGTGCGTGATGCATCAAATCACATCCGATTTGGCGCACAAAATCCGCAGCTCGCCGCTTCACAAATGATCCAAGCACCCACCTGGAGAAGCGGGCTCTATGCCCGAAGCTGTTTGACTTGTTCCGCTCCAACCAACTTTCTCCTGAGCCCAAACCCGGGGAACGCGAGCAACTTATTCTTGCTTCGGCTTTCCCGTTGTTGTTTCTTTTGCTTTTGTTGTTGTGTGTGTGTTTTTTTTTTTTTGGGGGGGGGGGTCAGAATGGGAGTGGACAAGGCAAGTCTCTACCAGGACCCTCAAACTACCCATAAAAAAGGGGCACTGTTGCCTGAACGACACGGCGCTTGGCCTGCTAAGCCTTGGATACATGAACTGGCAACGAAAACATATACTTGCCCCCCTCAACAGCGCAAGACAAGGCACTAATAATAAACCGGCCAGGATTGGTAAACCAAACCATGCATGTCTGACATAGGTTTCATAAATGAAACAAACCTGGCCCAAGAAAGAAAAACCAAACAACTTTTTGGCTCATTTTGTGTTGGCCACACTGCCCATGTCAAACCATCCAGGGCACGATTCGCCACCAAATCAGTGTCTGCTCTGAGGGTAAAAGGGAAGCAAATAGAATTGGGTTGCGGGGTACTACTGTGGATGGACGAAAATGCACCTAAGCAACCGTGGAATGATGATTTCCCGTAACTATCGAGGAACAACGGGTTCCCATGGTTTCAAGGTGGCGCAGGATTTCGTCCGTCCACAGTATTAAACAACACTGTCTCATCACAGGCCGGAATCCATGGAGCTCAGCTCAGCTCTCTTGGTGCTTCAAAGATCGCACCAAACAAATACTGGGTTCTCCAGCAGCGAGGCTAGAATAAGGGTACCCGATATTTTTTTCTGTAGTCTATTTAGTAGGGGAACCCTCCCAACCAAAAAAGGGGAGAGAAGGGCACTACTCAGGGACCTAGTTTTTGTTGAGCAGAAATGGGCGTGATCTGTAAGTGATGGGGCCCGACATGGTGGACATCAGAATTCGGTGGGGATAAAGTGGTTCACCACTTGTGGTTCCAACTCTTGAAATTCATAGCCATGTGTGCTTTCCCAATACGGGACCCCTAAAACGGGTGGTGTTGCTTTGAAGTCCCGTTTAAACCCACCCCAAAAACGGTACCTTCTAAAAATCACAAAACCCACCTCTGAACCTGCGTCGTTTTGTTTCATTGATTCATTGATGTTTCTCCCGGGAAAGCCAGCGAGTTGCAAAGGCGAATCTTGTTGCTACCTGGAGGCAATCAAATGAGTTAGTATTAACTAACTGGTGTGGCTGTTGTTTCTGTTGAGAAAACCCAATTTGTCTGGTTTTAGTCGCAAACCACAAGGAGAATCAAAGCCATTTTGGGGGGACCCTAAACAGACACACCCGCGTCCCACTTGGAAGACCGCTTCTTTCCTGGGGGTACTGTGTTTCTACTGCATCCATTATAAGGCTCCCCTGCCCCAGTCCGGGCCAAAATGCAAATTCACTGCACCGAAACCTGCCTTCAAACCATGTCCTCATGGGAGGGACGCTTGGTGAGTGCATGGGGGGGGGTCTCTCAATGGGTAACCGCCAAAGCAAATTAAATTGTACATGCCCTTTCGTTTCCCTGCAAAACCCGAATAGTTGGCGCCCCAGCAAACACCTGCACCATGTCATCCACAATTGCCCACTCACCTCAAAAGCTCCTGTTGGGTTCCGGTTGTGCCCTGCTCTCTTCCCTCCGTTTGAGTCTCCCGGAAAAAAAAAAAAAACGTTCAGTGATAGCTTCCCTGTAAACTAATAGGGACAAATACAAACAACTAAGTAAATAGAAGCTTCCTTCGGCACGCTTTGGCGACCTCCAAGTTACGTCCCAGATTCAAGCTCAGCTGGCTGCTGTCTCCGCCGAATAATGGATCACCCCAGGTCACAATAGCTCCAGATTCAAGAAAGCACCTGGCGGCTCTCTCCAACTTCTGGACCACCCCAGGTCACAACAGCCCCAGATTCAAGAATGGCAGCAAACGCATAATCGGTTGCTTGGTTGTGCTGGACGTGCCTCAGCTGCTCTTGCACCTGGCTGCTGTCTCCCCCGTATTCTGAATGGCCCCAGGTCACGACAGCCCCAGATACAAGAATGGCAGCAAAAGAAAAACCTGTTGCTTGGATGTGCTGGACGTTCCTCAGCTGCTGTTGCACCTGGCTGCTGTCTCCGCCATTTTTTGGATGACCCCAGGTCACAACAGCTTCGGATTCAAGAATTGCAGCAAAAGCACCATTGGCAGTTGCTTGGATGCACTGGACGTTCCTCAGTTGCTCTTGCACCTCGCTGCTGTTTGCGCCAGAGTATGAATTGCCCCAGGTCACAACAGCCCCACATTCAAGAATTGCAGCAAACGCACCAAGGGCAGTTGCTTGGATGTGCTGGACGTTCCTCAGCTGCTCTTGCACCTGGCTGCTGTCTCCGCCGTATTCCGAATGGCCCCAGGTCACAACAGCCCCAGATTCAAGAATGGCAGCAAAAGCATTGCCAGTTGCTTGGATGCAATGGACGTTCCTCAGCTGCTCTTGCACCTGGCTGCTGTCTCCGCCGTATTCTGAATGGCCCCAGGTCACAACAGCCCCAGATTCAAGAATGGCAGCAAAAGCATCGCCAGTTGCTTGGATGCAATGGACGTTCCTCAGCTGCTCTTGCACCTGGCTGCTGTCTCCGCCGAATAGTGGATCACCCCAGGTCACAACAAACCCAGATTCGAGAATGGCAGCAAAAGCACCGCCAGTTGCTTGGATGTGCTGGACGTTTCTCAGCTGCTCTTGCACCTGGCTGCTGTCTCCGCCAAGGCTTGGCTCACCCCAGGTCACAACAGCCCCAGACTCCAGAATGGCAGCAAAAGCAAACGCAGCTGCTTGAATGTGCTGGACGTTCCTCAGCTGATCTTGCACCTGGCTGCTGTCTCCGCCGTGTCGTAGATCACCCCAGGTCACAACAGCCCCAGACTCCAGAATGGCAGCAAAAGCAAACGCAGCTGCTTGAATGTGCTGGACATTCCTCAGCTGCTCTTGCACCTGGCTGCTGTCTCCGCCGTGTCGTAGATCACCCCAGGTCACAACAGCCCCAGATTCAAGAATGGCCGCAAAAGCACCACCAAACCGATATCTAGTTGCTTGAATATGCTCGACGTTCCTCAGCTGCGCTTGCACCTGGCTGCTGTCTCCGCCGTATTCTGGATTACCCCAGGTCACAACCTCGCCCTCAGGGCCATACGAAGCGAACGCCTGGCCTGTGGCAGCCAGCTTGCAAAGCTGTACGACCGCCGCCACCACGTCCCCATCTCGTAAGCCCTCGTCACTCAGCGAAGCCGTCAAATCGAGCTGCCGGCCGTTCGCAGTAAGCCTCAAGCGACGCTGGAAATGCTGCTCTGCTGCAGCCTTCAGCTCGCTGATGGGCCTGCTTTCTGAGAGTGAGACAGAGCAACCATCTCCACTGGGCAAGTGAACATCCACCTTCATGGCGCCTTCACGAAATTCTTCTAAACGCGTTCGCTCAAGCCTGGGACGCGAAACCATGTCAATTAAGGTTAGGGGAAAACACTTTTTGCGAACGGCTCAAACAAATCCTAGGATCGGCCACGCACACGGGACCCTGTCACTTTGGACAACACCAGCAGCCATATTTGAAGGACAATTCGTCACTCGCTTTTGAAGCTTGGTGAGCTCAACGCCGAAACGTAGACGAATCAAACAACTTTGACCCTTTCACTTGCTTAAGCCCACCGGAAAAAAAAAGAAGAAGAAGAAAGAATCAAATATGTTCAGTGATAAGAGTCCCTTTAAAACCAACAAGGGGAAATTTAATATATTCATTTCAGCAAATGGAGGCTTGAATTCTTCACAGCCAAGCGAAACTCACCCAAAAGTGAAAAAAACTTAAAAAGGTAGACAAAAGGGGAATCGGCACTCACGGCTTGGACACAGAAACGACCAGATTCTGTTTCATGGTCTACCCACATGGTTTGCGAAAATATGTTTCTTTGAACCCCCCCAACCAATTCCCCGCCCCGAGGAAAATCTCTGGCCTTCTCCTCCTTGGAGTCCGGGTGCAGAAGGTCGATATCCATTTTCGAGTGTTTTGGCCTCGATCGCATCGACAACCCATGTGTCTTCGCCCAAAACGTCATCGCGAATTATGATTAGGGTTTAGGGTTTAGGGTTTAAGGCCTGTCGATTTTTGCCTATGGTGCAAAGGACCTGGAAATGAAAGGTTAACCTTTTGGGGCAATGACTACAAATGGACCAACATGGGAAAACGAAAAGGTCAAGAGGTCGGCTTTGGACAAGTGAGATGGCTTCTTAGGCTATGCTCAAAAAAGACAGACCCATTTTATGGTTTTGGGTAGACAACATATGGGACAGGGGGGGGTCTGTCAAGGAACACCAACAGGCAAAGCGAAATCCATTTGCGAGTGTCTTGTGTTTAAGGGTGCCCCTCTTTTGGTGGTGTTAAAGGAAAACCACAAGAACACCGATTCCTTTTTGGGGGGTCCAACACACAAAAGATACGCCCGGTTGGTTCCCCGAGCGAATCCAGCAATTTATGAATGCTCTGGGTTCCCATCAGGTGGTGCTCCGAGGTGGTTTAGTTCCCACCAATCCGAAGCACAATTAGTCTAGGGCTACCTTCCCATTCTAAACCAAGGGATCCTTCTTTCTAGGCAACCTCAAGAAACCCTGTAAAACAACCGGTTTTTGGGAAGAACGATGGTTTGAAAGAATGGTTGGAATCAACCCCTAGACTTACGGGTCACCTGGTCCTGTCCTAATCTTCCTCCTTTCCCATCTGAGCACACGGCCGGACAGCGAGAGCAGCACCAAATACCGCTGGGCCGGAAAATGAGCATCAGTTCAAATGAACCAAACGAAAACAAATTTCAAGGAGTTTATCTAGGTCCTCCAGTAGGGAGGTTAGAATAAGGCATAAGGGATTCGGCGCCTCAGCGTGGCCGGGCGAACGGAAGGAACCTTTTCAAGCAACCACCTGGAGTCTCCATGACCCTTGGTCATTACTCAAAATTCTAGTTGGTCATGGACCCCTTTTTCAGGGTCATGGAGACTCCACGAGAACGACATGTACGACTCAGGAGCACAGCTAGCTTTCGTGAGCAACAATGTAAAGAATGTGTTTCCCAACAACAACCATGTCAAGGGTAAGCAAAGACTTGATCCAAGAGGTCTCTCGCCTCGACAAAGGTCACAAGAAAGTCGCCGCGACCACGGGCCATAAGCAAACCCGCTGGCATATTACTGAGTGAGCTGAGTCACTTGCTCAAAACCCGGTAATTTCTAAAAGGGTCGTAATCCCAGAACCATGCTTCAAGAATGAAGAAGCGGATATCCGCAGCTGTTCATGGTTGGGATTTCCCCTTACTCTTGGTTGACGTTGGAAGGGGAGCAAAAAACTAAATTCTAGCAGCTAGGTGGTTGGATTTCAAGCACTAAACCACAATAAGATCCAAAATGTGCAAAATGCGTTTCCCAACAACAACCATGTACTTACCTTCAGTGGGATTGCTCAGCTTCAAGCTTCAAGTCTTTGAGCCAGGGAAAGCGAGCCGAATAGCCTGAAAGCTTTTTTAAAAAAAAATCGGGGTACCCCCGTAACCTCCAAAGACCCACGTTGGTTTAAAGGTGTATTTTTTTTTGGGGGGGGGGAAAAAACAACAAAAACACGGCTTCCAGTTTCCATGGTAAATACCGATCCCTTTTTTAGTGGGTCGACAAATCATACCAACTAAAAAATGGGTTGGTATTGGGTGTAAGGGGGAAGGAAAGAGTACCCGAGCCAGGCCATTCGACTCCAAACTCTTTCTGCACCAACTCGCTTTTCCTTTTCGCTCCCCGGCCAGCCGCAGGCCCTGCGAGCGCGCACCGTACACACACGGGTTTGCCTCCAAAGGCACCTCCCCCAAACAAAAAAACATCAGACCCCCCCCGCTAGGTGCTTCAACCCCCTCCCCCCCCAAAAAAAAAGACCACCCCTCATTAAAAAAAAGAAGAAGAAACACCTTCCGCAATCTTCCAACTGGTGAGTCCTCCCCCGAGTTGTTTCGTTTTCTGCAGAACATGTGCAAGTTTCCCATGTCCCTCGAACTAACCATGGACTACTAACCTCAGCGCCAGACACACCAGTACTTGGCACTTCATTGTCCATGGTGTCGCTTAGTGATCAAACCCGTGTCTCGCTTATCTCACGACATGTCCATGCACTTGTCCACTTGTTCGGCCACGTCCCGTTTTCAGGTTGCGGCTCCTAGGTTCTCCAGTAGAGAGGTTGGAATAAGGGTACCCTTTTTTCTGTAGTCTATTTAGTAGGGGAACCCTCCCCAAAAAAAGGGTTTCAAGGGCACCGCTGGGGAACGGCGCACAACATCGCAATCCCCCACTAAAAATGAACAGGACCCCAGAACGAACACATGCCTTGGGACCTTAGGACCCAACAGGTGAACCGTCAGTGGATAGGTCAGCTTCAAGTGGAAGCTGCACCCCATTTTATCTTTTATTTCTTTAAATATTTGTTCCCAACAACAACAAGCCCACTTTTGGTCCTAGCTTGGGTAAAGGTTTCTTTTTTCCACTATGGCAGGCAACCACCCAGTACCCGGCCTTTTTGTTCGTCGGTATCATGTCGATCCTCTAAAACAGGGTGACGTATTTACCATGGAAACCCGAAAAACCAGGTTTGTTTTCCCGAAAAATCCCCCCAAAAAAAAACAAAAACAAAAACAAAAAGGCATCGGGTATCATGGAGGTTCCGGGGGTAAGATGGTTTTCTTTTGGGGGGCGCTCCAGTGGCGGGTTTGATCCCCCGCCTCAAATCTCGGAGGCATTTCTCTATGCCCCGCTGCCGCAGGAACCTCCCCGAACGTCGGCCGAGGCGCGTGGGGAGATGGACGTGGACCCTCGAACGTTCCAACTCGAAAGGGGAACCCGTTCGCCCCAAATTGCGGGAAAGGCCGATTTCTTTTGTGGGTACTTTGAGGGTGCTGGTACCTCTTTGTGGGGGTTTAGAGGGAAACCACCAGGAAAACCTCCGTTGTGGTTGCATGGGTCGCCTGTTTTTGAGTTGGTACCATGTTTTTGGTCGCTTTGAAAGAGAAACCCCCATTTTGAGGGCTCCGAATCCAAAAAAAAGAGACGAGACACACACACATATAAGTGTCTGTTCCTGCTTTTTTGCGGGGCCCACAGTTCTTGTCGCAACGTTCTCCGCGGATTTTTTTTCCACGAAACGCTGAAACCAAAGCTACCCACATGCTGACCATGTTCCGAAGAAGGGACTCCCAGGTTCCGAGAAAGCCTCGCAAAAGGAACGCAGAGACCACGCGATTCTCCAACTTCGGCAGCTTGGAGTGGCGATGTTTTTGAATGCCCTGGTTTCATAGAATTTAGATGGTTGGTGTCCGGATGCTTGCTACCAGGGCCAAACAAAAACATTTTAAAAACAACAACCAGAAATCAAAACACACAAGTAGATAAACAATACTTTAAGTAAATAAACATTTAAAACAAATAAAACATCAAACAATAAGCAAAATGCGTCAACCCTTCCAGTGATCACTCTGCGGGGCTTGGTCATGACTTTTGGTTTTGGATTTTTTCCACAGCCCACGGTCTTTGAAGTTTGAAGGGACACCAAGGCACCCGCTCCCCTGCAAAACGAGCCGTGTGAACTCACAGGAAGCGCTCTGGGCTTCTTATTTGTTAAGGAAAGACGTGACACAATTTGTTCATCCGTGTTGTTGGTTTCTGCAAAAAAACAATGTAACAACCCCATGTGTTAGGTTCAATTCAAAACCCAATGCTTGTGGTTCCCTTCGAAAACGCCAACTAAAAGCACCGAATAAAACCTGGATGGACTCAACTTCACCGTGTGTTTTGTGGGCCGGACGGAGAAGTGAGTTGCCCGACGTTCGTGTCTAGCACAAGGTCACAAACTCGATGATTCACAGGACACAAACACATCCAGTGCTTTTGCCGTAGAACCCAAATATGTTTTTACCACCTGGTCCCTCAAACCAACTCAAAAATAGGTAAGTGCAACCCAAAAGGATGGTTGGTAACCCTCCTCATCTGATGCACTGCTGGACTTGGGTCCTCCTCCTCCGGCTCTGCTGCTTCCGAAGGCTCCTTGTCCCCAGCTCCAAGCGGGATTGGGACTGTCCCAATCAGCACGTGCTTCACCTTTCTGCCCGTTCCGGCCCAGCAATGTCCACATTGAGGACATAGGACGGAATGTCCGCCTTCAATCTCGACATCGAGGAGGACGTCAGGCAGAACCTTCATGACGGTGCGTTGTGGGGATATTTTAGGGGCTGATCAAGGCCGTGCTGGGAGGGCCGCCGTGCCGAGCTATATCGAGATTGAGGCATCACCAGCCTGGACCCCCACCCCTGAGAGGACGGGACGTTCACAGGTTTGGCCTTCCTGGCCTTTCGGAGGAGGACAGGAAGAAGCTTAACGGGCTTCTTGCTGGAGTCCCCCATGGACCCCATGGAGTATGATCCCAGAGCAGTGGAGCTGGACGTGCCTTCCTTTTCAAACTTCCCGGAGGTTCAGGACTTTTGCCAGGACAACATGATGGGCCTGGTGAGCTTTGATCAAAGCTCCACGGAATGAAGGGCCAAGGCCATCTCTTGATGATGGAGGCTGATCCAGACGAAAACATGGGCGAAGTGGGCGCCTGGACTGGTGGCGGCCATCAAGATGTCCCTCAATGAGCTCATTAGGAAGCTCGAAGAGCGGAAGGAGGAGAAGAAAATGGAGACAGGGGAACTCAAGAGGATGACCTTGGAGAAGTGGAAGCAGCACGTTGGCCGGGGGCACACTCCGTTCAATCGACGGTGCCGCATTTGTATGCAGGAGGCTATCCTCCTTCCGCCATTCCTTGGCATCTCGCCCAGCGAAAAGATGCACCACGACACCCTTGCTCGCTTCCCATTTCCTCCTCAATCTCCGATTGAAAGGACATCGCGCGGCAACTTCTGCTTCTCCTTCCACCCGACCCATCAGCTTCAGGACCTCATCCGGGAGACTCGGAAACCATCGCTGTTATCGCTCCTCATCCATCGTCCCCGCAGCTGCCTTTTCCGGGCCATCCAAGAAGTCCATCAGCTTCATCGCCTCTGACCTTCGCATGGCCAGAGCACCCCTTGGCATTCCACCTCACCACAAATCCAGCGTCTACCAACATCCTCAGCGGCATGATGGGCTCCACCGGCTCCAGCGTCAAAATGGCAGACGTTCCGGCATGCTTGTGCAGCACCGTACTTCCACAGGCCAGCTCCACCTCCACCGCGGTGAGATTGTCCCTCTCATGCGGTCTAGCTTGTCGTAGCGCGTGAGTGGCTCCGCCATCCAACAACGCCACCGGCTCCACTTCTCCGCGTTTCCCCGCTTCCTTCTCGGCCGCGGCGTACTTGATCTGCAGCGCCCTGATTGACCTCAAGGACTTCAGCAGGCCCGCCACTTCTGTCAGCAGACCTGAGGCTTCTTCCGACCCTCTCGAAGCCGATGATGCGGCACCAGGGTTCCGCCCCGTGGCCTCCCGGGACGCCTCCTCCGCGGAGCCCGAAGACGGGCCCCTTCGCCTGCCACTGCCTGACCTTCCGCCGGCATCCTGGCTTCTTGACCTTGGACACCTTCGGAGCTGGCTGCTTCCAAGAGCTTCCAGTCGTGGGTTTCTTGACCGGGCAGTCTCTCTTCGAATGGCCCATCCCGGAACATGCAAAGCATCTGTTGGTTTTCTCCAGGCCCTCCCACGAATGTGCATAGGTGCAGCTGCTCCCCTTCTTGCATCCTCCATCCGTTCCCCAAAACCTACAAGCAGGGCCTTGGGGCTTTTTTCTGTTGTCCGTCACCTCCGGGATCACGTCCGTAGCCCGCTGCCGCCAACGCCTTCAGGCCAGAGGTAGCAGTGCCCGTTCCTGTTGCTCCCGAAGTCGATGCCGCCTTAATCGCCGTCGTCAGCGAGAGCTCTTCGGCTTCAGCCTGCAGGTACTCCGCAAACTGCTTGATCTTCTCGATCTGAGGCCGAATATCAATCTGCAGCTCCTGCCGAACCGAAGAAATCCTAAACGAAGCCTGGGCTCCGGTCTTGCCGACCACCTCTGCAATCTTTCCCAAGACCGTGATCAACACCAGCCTGTCCGGAAGCGCCACATCCAGTTCCTCGGCTCTCGCCAACCGCCTCCTCCACGGTGAGGTGCCTCAACAGGTTACCCCTCTGCGAGGGACCTCCAGGTTGATACACCTGGTGAAGCCGAAACATGATCTCCGTCGCGGACATCATCCGGGCAGAGATGATCTCCCTCCTGATGGGGTCCGGCAAGGCCGCCAGTAGCATCGACAATCCCCTTTGCTCAGCCCGGTGATTGTGTGCCTCAACTTCCCCCAACGTGGGCTTCAACCGGAGCTTCTCCAACGGCGTCGCCGTAAGACACTCCTTCCCCCAACGTGGGCTTCAACCGGAGACACTCCGCATAGGTAAGCTCCGCCTTCTGCAGGACCTGCTCCCACCACAGCCTGGCCGATCCCGCAATGTCGGACATCAGCGGGGTAATGACCGTCACCCAATCCCCAGACGACCCCTCACCTCCGGGCGGCGGTAGACTAGGAAGCTCCAAATTCCTCAGGGCCTCCGACAATCTGAATGCCGTCGTAGCTTCACCTCCTCCTTCAATCAGTCTTGGAGGCGGTGGAGGCGGTGGAGGAGGAGGTCGGTCGGCTTCGTTGTGAGGCGGTGGCACCGGACCATCAGTTGCACCTCCGTCTGACGCCGTCTTGTAGGAAACGTCATCTCCCGCCCTTGCTGCTTGCAGTCTCATAACCTCCCGCTCGAAGGTTTCCTCTGCCTCTCGAAGAACCCTTTTCCGTAGGTCCTCCACCTCCCTATCTCCTCCAGAGCAAGGCTCCCGACGCTCCTGCGATGCGATGAAGCACCTCCAGGCGGCACCCGACCAAGGGCCACTCTTTGCTGCACCTGGGCTCCAGAACGGATTCACAGCTCCCGGGCCCGGGATTCCACCTCCATTCCTGCCGTAGATGTCTTCTGCACCACCTCTAGCGTCCAATTGGCATAGGGCTCCAACTGCCTGGGTCGGATTTCCATTCATCCTCCAAGTAGTCCTGGTTCGCTGCCTCTCCGAATGCCTTGATCGTGCCCTCCAGAAGGTCCGCATCCGTTGCCTCCACGAAAGCCCTGATCATGGCCTCCGGGAAACCCATCCATGGCGTGCCCTCCATGACCAACCTGATCATGCCCTCCAGGAAACCCGTGTCCATGGCCAGGAAACCCGTGTCCGTGGCCTCCACGAACAGCCTGATCGAGGAACACCATGTCCATTTCCTCCGCGAAAGGCTTGATCGTGCCCTCCAGGAACACCATGGTCTCCGCAAGGCTCGCCAAGGATCAAGGGCTCCTGTCCCGTCACCATTTTTCTCATCCAGCCTGTGATGAGCTACCTGGCCGTGAGCCTGCTCTCCTGGCTGTCCAGGACCTTGCCCATCACGACTGCCCCGGGCTTGTCCTTCTCCAGGATGTTGCCTTCCCGGTTTCAAAGGTGGGCCACGGTCTTCCGCTTCTGCCCCTCCCGTGCCATGCCCATCTCCGTGATGTAGTCCCGGAGGTAGCGTCCACACCTCGGGTTCCCGAACCGCCGGCTCCCCACCGGCTGTCATCCTCCAAAGATCGCGCCTCTCCCGCAGGTTCTCCGACCTTGCCCTCCTGCAAGACCCGTGCTCGCGGATCATCCTGTCCAGCGCCTGGTCGGCGGTTTCTCCTTCCCGAACAAGATCTTGTTGTTGTCTTCGCCTGCGCATCATGGCTGGCTTGGGCTCATAACCTACGGTTATGTTGGGGTAAAAACTGGTGCGCACCCTTTCTCGATGCGTCTTGAGCCAACGTTTCGGTCGGTCGCTAATGTCGAGTGCTGTTTCCACAGTTTTAATGAATAGTTCTTTCGGGTCCACATGCCTTCCGTAGCGAAATCGCTGTGGGACATGACCACTTCTGATTCAACGAAAAGGGCTTCCCAAAGACGAACACCCCCCAAAAAAAGAAAAGAACATCCAGGGGGACTCATTTCCCGAGTGGATGGCCCAAAACATCCAAACTTTGTTATTTACCACTAACATGGTCCAAACCAAAAAATGACTATAAAGCCCAGTGAGGGGAAGGTCCCGGATTGATAAACCCCTGTGTATTTATATGGGGGTGGGGGCTCCAAAAGTGGTCCGATTCCAACCCCCCTATGAAACAAAACCGGGGTTAAGTCACCCCTTTTGCTTGGTCAGGAATGACTCGGAATTTGAGGCTTTGGGAAACCGAAAAGGTCCCCTGAAACAGGATGATCCGGATGCAACTTGTACCATGGTGGGTTCCATTTCTTTATCTTGGTGTTGAAAAAACAACATGCCTGGAGTCTCCATCACCCGAAATAAAAATGGAGGGTCAGACTACCCAAAATCATGGTGGGTCGTGGACCCATTTTTATTTCGGGTCATGGAGACTCCAGGATGTTTCAAAGGGTCGCAAAATGGAAATTTCTTTTAAGGAGCCCTGTGAAAGGAAACCCGTGGAGATGTGGCCATGGGTCAAAAGCCAAATCGTACCCGTAGTCAACATCAACCAATCCAACCACTAACATAGGTTCTAAAATGGGTGGTGAGTTCACGGGATCCCGTTTAACGGTTTTGGTGCACCTACCCCAAAATGGGATCCCCTTGGTTTTGACCCACAGCCATGTCATCCCCGAAGCATGCGGCCGATCCATGCGCCCGATCGATCGATTTCCACCCCCGCCTGGCGTTGCGCTCAGACACACGCCGGCCAACCGCTTCGGGCTCCGACTCCTCATCTCCTTGCCCCTCACGTGCAAAGCTTTCGACCAAGGGAAAGGTTCCCTAAGGGGTGGAAACACTTGGTGCAACCCCAGTTTCTCTATTGGAATCTAGAGAAATCTAGAAAAACATGGTTTGGATGGCGTGTTTTTTGTGTAGATGTCTCCTGTTCTTTTCTGTGTTGGTCCTTTTTGAGCAATATTTTAGTACTCTTTTCGAATTCTACAACATCCAACTTTTTTCTGGACCTCCCTAGGGAACCCTAAGATTCTTTTCTAGGAACCCCCAAGGATGTTTCAAAAGCTCACAACAGCCCCCCCCCCCCCCCCGGTCAGGTACCTACCCGGGTCTGGGATTCAAGGGCTCGTGCCAGCGACACTTCGTCGATGGTTTGGCTCGGTTTGGATTCGGATTTGAATTTCCCAGTTCTTCTAGGTCCTCAGTGGAGAGAGTAGAATAAGGGTACCCGACTATTTTCTTCTGTTGTCTGTCTTAGTAGGGAACCCTCCCAACCAAAAAAGTTGGTGAGAAAGGGCACCTAGCTGGGGGACCTAGTCTTAGGTTAAAGGAAAGGGAACCCCCCCTTAACCACCACCGGGCTCCAAGCCACCAAGTTGGAAGCTGAAATACCCCAACTTCAGCGGGATGGCTTGGTGAGCGGACGGTTTGTTGCAGCCCAAGCTAAAAATGAAAGGACAACAGAAGAAAAACCTGAAATGCAACATGCCACAGCAGTGAAGCCACAGGAAGGTGGCTCGCAACAGCTTGTTGGATCAGGTTATCCCTAGGGTTCAACCCCGTTAAAAAGAAAGGTCGACCCAAATTCGATGATGACAAGCCTGAAGGGTAAACAATGTTAATTCTATGAAGCCCAACCATTGTTTCTAATGCTGGTATCTGAAGCTCAGGGTATATGTATATATATATATATATATGTACTCCTGTTCTCCCTTTTGTTTTGAAACTGCATTCGATGAACATTTTCGCAACATCCCCGGAGAGGGGAACCATTTCGGGCAGAAAAGAAATGCCAAAAAACCCGTCCGACGCTGGGAGCTCGCGTTGGAGCACGCTTCCCAGGGCAAGTTGCAGGTGGTCTTTTGAAAACCCGTTGCGGGCTTTTAGGGTGGAAAAAACCGGGGCCGCCTTTGGTTCTCCCCTATCTTTAAGACTACCTGGTTCTATACCTAGGGATCGGATCTCATCACTTGATCATGCCATGTTTGAGACATTCTGTGGACATTACCTATATATAGGGATCGGATCCCTATCAAACTGCAAAACCGAATACACATATATATGTATATATATATATATGTAGAGAGAGAGAGAGAGTGATCGGATCCCGGTCAAAACTGCCTCAAGCCGGTCTTGCTCTTGGGTTCCCTTCAGAACATAGCAAACAAAGGTACTCTCAACAAAAAAAAAGAGGGAGCACACCCGAGTGAGTTAGCAAAGATCCATGGGCCTAGCCTGCTATGGAGCACACCCAAAGCGCCCTTTCAAGCGAAAAATGGTCTTCGAGCCGGTCAGGTTCTAGTAAGGTGGCTGGAGGGGAACACTGAAGTAGATCATGCGCCCCTGTCTGCAATACACATGACTGCTATCATCAAAAGACTTGGTGGACGTGGGAAGGGGAGCAAACAAACATAATTTTTAGCGTTCAGTGGATGGATTTCAAGCGCTCAACCACAATAAGCAGAAATCCACCATGCTTCCCAACAACACAACCCACCCACCCACCACGGCGGGTCCTGCAGACCTTTCGCCAAGGCCGCCGAGACTTCCTGACGCGGCTCAAGTCCACGAACGTCCGGCCAGAAGTGGGAGACTTTGTAGTGCTACCTTCCCCATTCTAAACCCAGGGATCCAAATCTTTCTAGAAAACCTCCGGAAACCCAGGGAAACGGATCCGGTTCTTGAAAAAAGGATGGTTGAAAAGAATGGAATCGGAATCAAACCCTAGAGCCGTATCCCCAAATCGAAACCCAGAAGGAACCTTCCCTGAAAGCCCCAAATCAGAGCTCGAGCCGTTTGGAAACAAATCAACCGTTCGAAACTTGGCAAAAGCCTTTGGGAACCCAAAGGAAAAAACGGTCCAAGCCAAACAATCCGGGAGCAAGAGACTAAGTTGCAGCCTAAAAATGAGCAGAACGAAAGCGAAACACCAAACAAACAAGTGGAGTAGACTAAAAGGGACACAAAAGAAAAACCAGAAGGTAACACCAAAAGGAAAACCAAGACAAAAAAAAGAGAGAGATGATTCTGAGGGAAACCACGGGGACGCGCTTCGGGAACTGTGTTTCTGGCTCCATTTGGGTGTGTCTTAAAATATGGAAACCCTCAAATTGCTTGGTGTCCTTTTGTTTTCCCTTTAAGCCAAGCTCAAAAAGGGTAATGTGGGGGTTGATCAAAAGGTCCTTTACATAGGATGAACATTGGGGGAAGCCACAGCAAAAATGATATATCCCACAAAATGGGGAAAAGTTACCCATGGTCATTTGAAGGCCGAAGTAAATATTGATCAACCCCCCCATGTCTTCAATGGTCGGATGGGACCCCATGAAGCTCGGTAATCCTTGGGTTCCTTCTAAACCAACTAAAAAAGAGTACCGAACCTCAAAGGCACACACACACACACGCGGCTAATTTTGACCCCGGATTGACTAGGCTGTTGAACTTTTAGTGGATTAAGTCGAATTCCCCACTAAACACTAAAATGCTAAAAAGCTAAAAAGCTAAAAAGCTAAAGGGATGGGAGCCACCAAGTTAATAAAGCCTGTCCACCGTTTATTCTCATGGGGGACACTCCCCATACTAATACACAGGGGCTTATTCATCCGGGGTCAACATTATAACGTGTAACAGGGAACCACCTCGCATTTTGTTCTCGGCGGTTTTTCCGACATCAGGGTCCCTCGGTTTCCCCACACACAAAAAACACGTCCAACAAAAGCAGATGTTCCCACATGGCTCTTGGCCCATCCTTCCGGACCATTTTGGCTTGCAAGTCAACAGGGGCAAGCGTATGCCCGTACATGGGCGCACGTCTTGTTTGGAGTCGGTACCCTTTTCTGGTTTGGTTTAGAGGGAAACCAAACCAAAAGGAAATCACCGAAACATTGGGGGGGCCCTAATCTTGGGACGCTCAATGCAGAGAGTATGCAAGAGGTAGGAACTGCTTCCCTCTTGTTTTCTTGTGGGGGGGGAACCCTAGTTTTCAGACACCCCCTGTTGAATTCCGGCCCTGGATGGGTGTGTATTTTTCCCAAAAAACCCCTTCTTTGGGGCTCTGGTTTTCCTGTTGGTTTCCCGAGGTTGTTTTCCAATCGTTATATATATATATATATAGATAGATAATACCTGGACCCTCCGAAATTCCCTTGACACTGCATATGGGCTATAGAGCGGGGTGAGTTCCCTTTTTTTAGGGTAGTTTGAGAATTCAGACATAGCTGTGTATATATATATATATAACAAACACATAATTCTGTAAATGATTAAATAAATAAATACCTGGAGTCTCCCTGACCCTTAAAAAATGGGTCCATGACCAACCATTATTTTGGGTAGTCTGACCAACCATTTTTAAAGGGTCCTTAGGGAGACTCCAGGTAATTATAGCAAACAACTATTTCTGTAGATTATAATTACTAAACAAATAATTATATACATAAACATGTATATATATATATATGTATAACAAACCAATTCTACATCTGTGTTAACAAACAAATACATAAAATCAACAAAAGGGGCACACCGTCAACTCTCGCCAAAGCGCGCGCGCCTCTTCTCGCAGCAAGTGGAAGGCCGGAAAGGGGCTGCGCCCTACAAAGTCCGCGGCATCTTCCCCGGCCTCGCTCGGGCGAAGGACACCCCCGTTCAGTGGGTTAAAGGGAAACAACCGATTCCAAATCCTGACTTTGATACCCCCCTGAAACTCATGAAAATCATGACACCCGAAGGATGTGTCCGGTGACTGGAATCCCATGTCCTATCCCAAGTGCTTGAAAAGCAATTTCTAGGTCCTCCAGTAGAGAGGTCAGAATGAGGGTACCCTATTTTTTTCTGTAGTCTATTTTAGTAGGGGAACCCTCCCCAAAAAAAGGCGAGAAAGGACACTACTGGGGGACCTAGTTCTGTTTGTTTTTGGGAGGGGGTGATTTAAAGGAAAAACAACAGATTTGTTGTTTGGTCCTTGTTCCCCAAGCTGCATGCCTGGTGGTCTCTGCCCAAATAAGCTCAATCGGGGTGGTTTTCGGCTCGCAGATTTCAGAAAGAGTTGCTGAGGATACCACCAGTTTGTTTCGCGTTTGGTTGGTTTCGTTTTTTTTGGGGGGGAGGGAGCGAAAAAGCAGCTCAGGTGTCGGTGTGGGCAGACTAGTTACGCCTTTTGTAGCGCTTGCTTGGGAAGGGCGGGTAAGAAGTTTCGTGTTACAAGCGACTTTCGCTTGCGAAAGACACATCGATCGCATCTCCACTGTGCAGTGGCCTTCCCAGGCTTGATGATTTGACGCTGGGTTTGGGGAGCAGTTTTTCTATTTTTTTTTAATAGTTCAGTGGATTTGGATTTCAACCACTAAACCACAATAAGCAAAAATGGAAAGAGTGTTTCCCAACGACAACCATGGCTTGAGGGTTTGAGGGTTTGAGGGGTTTGAGGGCTTGAGGTCTTGAGGGTTTTGGGCTTCAGACCCTTGGCCATTTTAGACTTTTGGAAGGAATTGCTCTTCAGGTGATAAGCTGTTGGGCGGCTGGGCTGTTGGGTGAGCTGACTGTTGGGTTGTTGAGCTGTTGGGCTGTTGCTGGGCTGTTGCTCTGTTGTTTTGTTGTGTTGCTCTTGTTGTTGTTGCGCTGCTGGGTTTCGCTTCTTGGACGGGTTTGAGGCTGGCTCACCGGCGACCTGCAAAATGTTTGCTTTCGCGCGCGCGCTGCCTCGCTGGGTGACTTTTTTGAGGGCTCGGAAGCGGAAACCTTCCATTTGCGTTTGCGGCCCCTGGGAGAAACATATGTCCAGTAGTGATAGATTCCCTTGAAAACCAAGAGATGAACATTAAAAAACGAAGAAAAACACAAATGGAATATAGTTTATTGTATGGGTCGCCCTTCAAAACCATCAATCAACTGTGCTGCCCGTTCTCTGCTCCCCGCCAAAAGTGACTCACTTTTACCACTAAACACTAAAAGGCTAAAAAGCTAAGGGGACGGCTGGGAGCCAAAAAAAGACAAGGGGTACCCTCAGAAAGAGCAAGGCCCGTATGGGTTTAGGGCTTCTTGGAAGGGCTTCTCATGTTGACCTCGGATCGAAGTACAACCCGTCCCAGGGACTAGGGGGACTCCCCCTCCAAAAGTGGTCTGAATCCAACCACTAAACCCAGAACCCCCCCCCCATTCAAAGTAGGGTTGATTTATCTGGGGTTCTTATGGAGTGTTTGAAAAGGACGAGACTCTGTTAACACCTGTGACTGAGCTGAGATTGAACCAACATGAGATTTGCTGCATCCGCACCAGCCTGATTGCCGTGAAGTTGCTTACAGGAGATCCTCTGCATCTTTCTCTGATCTTCGATCAAGTTTGGATTTTCAGATAGGGGTTGTAGCTATGGATGCTAAAAAACCACAAACAAAATCCACGTGTTCGCTTGTGCGGCGGCTTTTCTACCCTTGAGCCCGAAACCCCTCTGCCTGGAAATGACTTGAGATGGCCCCAAAGAACCCTCTAAGAAAAAGGAAGGTTGGGAAGGTCGATCACCGGCTCAATGGACATGCCACTTGGGCCACTTGGGTGCCTCGTCTTTTCTCGGACCCCTGTTTTTGTTCAGGTTTAAGGGGAAGCCAAAAGGCTTCAACCGAAGCCATGTTGAGGGGTCCTGAAAGACCACATTCAATTTCCACCTGGAGTCTCCCTAAGGACCCTTTAAATAGAAATGGTTGGTCACCCAAAATAATGGCTGCCTGGAAACCCATATGCGACCTCTTTTTTTTCTGTCCCTAGGGCTTGGGCCATAAAGATGGCCCTACGGCTTTCCCAGGTGGTCGACTTCCCCATTTTTATTTCAGTCCAATGCGGGAGACTGGAAGCCACCCGGCTCCTTCCCTTCGGCCCTTCGGCCCTTCGCCCGGCAGAACGCCTCCTCGAAGCGGAACTCGGGGTGGAAGGTGGCCAGCTGCACCTCGAGTCGATGGGAAGCGAGGCACCTCGGGCCTCTTGCCGGGTTCGGGGAGCAAAAAAAAGAAGGACTTTGTCTTCATTTCTTGGTCGACGTTGGAAGGAAAGCAAAAATTGGGAAAAAACAAATAGCAGTTAAGTGGATTTGGAGTTCAACCACTAAACCACAATAATCCAAAATTTGCAATTATATTTCCCAACGACAACCATGACCTGGACCCGAAGAAGAAGGGAGACCCTTAAAACGACCCTTAAAACGACCCGATGAAATAAACAAACACACAAAAAACAACACGACCCTGAAAAATGTTGACAACCAAACCAGGGGGAACAACCTCATGAATGAGGTGAGTTGACCCAAAAACAAAAAGGTAATAAAGCACCACCGAATAATTGACCTTTAAAAAAAAAAAAAGCAGTATATACCTACTAAATACCAGTAAATCAAGAACTGACATTGCATAATTATATATATATATATTATTAACGCACAAATAATATGAAAAAGGGACAAGGAAAAAACGGCTTCTGCGAGAGCCCCAACCCTTAGGTCTTGGACGGTGCCCAGTTGTTTGAGCTGAGCGAGAATTTGGCAGCTGAAGTGCTTGAGACGAGCGGTGTAGATTCCGAAAGTGCGAAACATTTCTTCCATTTGCTTAAGCCCCCTGGAAACCATGAGCACATATTTCCAGTAGTGATCGATTCGTTTGAAAGGAAACAGAGGAAAACAAAGAATATTCTTAAACAAACGGAAGAATTTGCGGGTAACAGGTTGAAATCTGGGCTGTCTGCTCTCAGATTTTGCATCCCGCATGTGATCGGTCAATAGCATGACTGGCAGAAAGTATTGTGCGGGCCATGGACCGGTGACATGAAAAGCTTTGGCAGGTAACAAGTTGAAATATGAGGGGTATTGGAAAAAACAAGTCTATAGATCCAACCCAATAGAAGAGGAGATGAGCCACAAATGAGCCACGAACAATATTCAGGTGCCCCTCAATTGGTGGTTTGGAGCCGGGTAGTGTGGATTTCGATTTGAATCCCTCCTTTGGAAACTTCAAATGGGGTTTTGGACCAACCTAGCGTCCAAACCATCGCGCTCCAAACCGAATAGGGGTAAGGTGAAATATTCTAAGTCCCCAGCTGACATGGCATGTTGGTGAGTAACATCCATTTCCTAATGGTATCTTGAGGCTCGTGCACCTGATGCCTTCTTTTCTGCTATCGTAGAGAGAAAATATTGACCGTTGCTCAGATGACGCCCGAGATTGCCCTCAGCGATTCAAAGACACCAATCCGTTTGCAACCGGAAGAAAGCAAATTGCTTATCTAGTTTACACACGCAGACTGGCAACAGAATCTCTACATTCCCGAAGCTGGTGGCAACACACTGACACCCCCGCTTCTGCCCAACTCAAAAGTCACATGCTTAGGTTCTGGGTCCATAGGGGTGTGAGTTAAACTGTTTCCCCCTTCTCTTCACCCCTTCTCAATAAAGAAACTCGTTTTCGCGCTGGCCCAGGATCCCGGAGAATTCTAACCTTCTCCATTCTAAACCCAGGGATCCAAATGATTCTAGAAAACCTCCAGAATTTTAGGGAAAGCGGCGATCGATGTTTGAAAAGAACAAGGGTTGAACAGAATGCTTGGAATCAAATTCTAGACAAATGGGTGCAGCTGCCGTAAGTCTTGTTTTTTACGTGGTTCTGGGCGGTCCATTTTTGGTGGTAGCCACTCCAAGCAACGAAGGCTGGTGCCTCTACTGGAGGAACCGAACGAGCCGCCGGCCTTGCCGTTCAGATCCAGCTCCTCAAAGGCGTCTTCCAGCCAACCGCACACGGCCAAGTAGTCCTCAAAAAAAAAAACACATGGAGTCTCCATGACCCGAAATAATAATAAAAAATGGGGAACCATGACACATTGTGTTGGGCAGTCTGACCCCATTTTTAAAGGGTCATGGAGACTCCAGGCGCTTGGTCATGAGCAGTCGACATGGGCCTCCCAAAAAAGAAAAAGTGTGTGAGACCTTGAAACAAGTGGGTCTTTCTCACAACTAGGTTGCTTGCTCCTCTGCTAGAAGTTTGACTTTTAGTGGTTTAATGGAAAACCCATTAGTTGGCAAACAGTTTAAAGCCCTAACATCCAAGCAAAATGCACCAAATACAATACTGGTCATTGTTGCCAAATCTCTTTTGAGGGGGTGACTGTTTTTGGAGTTGCTACAGTATCCCTTTTTCGGAATGTTTTTTTCAGAACAAAAAATGCGGACCACCACCATTTTGGTTGGGCCCCCCCAAAAAAACACAGCTACTGGTTTTCTCATGTGTTCTCTACTTTGCACATGAAGCGTTTCGGCTCTTATCGCAACCAATGCACCCGACCCCATGTCAACCCGGATTTAGAAAGCCGCCGGGCCCTCAAAAGTGGTCCGATTGATTCCCAGGAAAGCCCCTTTTGGACCCCAATCAAAATCAAGGTTCTTAGATCCGGGATTCCCATTTAGGCAGTTGGTACCTCTTTTTCGGAGTTGGAGTTGGAGTTGGTACCTCTTTTTTTGGAGTTACCTCTTTTTCGGTGGCAAAGGGAAAGCAAAGGAACACCGAAGCGCCGATTTCGGGATTCGATTCGGTCCCACATAGGGCGGAATGGTTCGCACCCGGTTGCCAAGCAGATCAGCTCCTCCCAAGCTGAAAGAGATCGCAGTCGGGCGGCGGATTTCCATGTCAGTTGCTCAAAGGGCCAGAAATAAAAAGTTTAACCTTTGGAGACCTTGAGTAAAAACATGGACCAACTAAACGGTAAGGTCGGTTTTGGACAACTCAATTTTCAACAGAAACTTCTGGAGTTCAACTCTGGAAAGAGAACCCGAACGGTTTGCCCGTTGTATCTCATCACCCTTTCGCAGTTCTGGGGCCCCATTCGAGTTGATCATGAAGAGCAATCCTAGGGCGAAAAATGCGGACCGAATTAACTGTTCGGGGTCCAGATCCCCAAAACATTCGACACATGCCCACTTGGAATTCCCTAGACCTGGGGTCTCAGATAGGTCGAAATTCCTCTTGCTGACTCATGGAACAGACCCTGCGGCCGCGCCCCTGGTGCGGCCGCAGGGGCCGAGCTGCTTGTCTGGACGGCTGCACCCGCAGCAAATTGAGCAGTTGCTTCTGGGAAACGCCCATTGGGCCATCCAAAAGACGTCGGCCACCCAAATCAAGTTAGAATCCTCGCCTGTCATCGAGTGGCCCTGACGGCCTCCTTGAGGAACTGCGAGGAACCGCTCACCGACTTATGGGAACCAACCAACAACCACAAAAGATGTTGGGCGCTTTCTCACTTCCTAAGTCGATGGCCCAAAACAAGTCGCCAAGCTTTTTGCTGAAACCACTAAAATGGCTCAAACCCAAACTCCCAACAAGTGACAAGATCCAGTCCGCGTGAGCTCACAAAGTGTGTCTTTCAAGAAACTTGGTTGATGTTGGAAGGGGAGCAAACGTTCAAATTTTAGCAGTTCAGTGGAGGTTTCGACCACCAAACCACAATAAGCAAACATGTAAAGAATGTTTCCCAACAACCGTGACAAAGGGAAGGGAACCCTTGTTTGGGCGGTTTTAACTTTGAAACCCAAGAGGAAAACCCCGAGCACCGCCATATTTTTGTTGGGTCCAGTGGAAAGGGCCACCCCACCAATTTGTCGGCCGATTTGGTCTCCCCAAAGCTGCCCTTCGCTCCTCGAAGCGGCGCAAGACCTCGCACCTGAGAGGACATCGCGCGAGAAAAAGAGAGAGAGAGAGAGAGAGAGAGAGAGTACCTGGACCCGAAGGAGCTACGTGTTTTTTGGGTTTGTAGGGTAAACTTGGGCAAGTTTACCCAAACAGTTCTTGAACTTTGAGGGTCCAGGTAGTCTTTAAACAAATGGAGCGGCAACTGGACCCGAAAGAACGAGGCATGAAAAAGGGGCGCCAGTCACCAACCAGACTTTTCAACAATGCATCTTTAAGCTGGAATTTGAGGGTCCAGGACTGAGAAAGCAACCCCCCCCCAAAAAAAAAGGAAAGAAAGAAAGAAAGAAAGAAACGAAAGAAAGAAATAGGAAAGGGTAAGGTCACTCATGGTCAAGGACACTTCGCCTTGGGTTTCAGTTACCACCATTGAAACAAAGGGGGTTGATATGTTACCACCACAATTTACCCTTCAGGAGTTTCATCCTCCAAATTGGGTCCTTGCCTCTCTTTTTTTTATGGGGGCAAGGAACCCTAGGGTTAGATGGAGACCAAGCATAAGCCCTCTTCCCTCAGACCGCCGGCCCCCCTCCATGACTCGAGCTGGTCGCGGTGGAATCTTTCCAACCCAAGCGCTATGGGCTTGCAACAACCCCTCCAAGCTAGGCTGGAATTAGGACCCCAGCAAAAAAATATCCTTTTTGCCTGGTTAGTGGAAAACAAAGGGGACCCAAAAAAAGATCAAAAAAGCAAAAAGGGGAGCTAATTCTGGGGAAGCAAGGTGTTCCCTCCAAGAGTGGTCTGATTAATCCCGAGGATTGGACACCTTTGGACCCGGATCAAAATCAAGCAGCTGGAGTTTGGTCTTTCTCGGCCAACATGTTGTGCCGAAGATCCAAAACTCATGCCCAGTGACCCCGGAAAACATGGCGATCAGGGTAAGTCCAATGACAAATGGTGACCAAATCCTTCATGCCCGGTGGAATTCCATGGGAGAAAATCAAACGGACCTTTTGTTGGTTGACTTGAAAGGTAAACCCTGCCCCCCCCCTGCAAAAAACCACAACAAAAAAAGAAAAAACACGAGCCACTTGTGGCTCGACGGGAAGAAACCCACAAATCACAAAACCGGAAAAACCAGCCAAAAAAAAAAATCGGCCACACAACACACCACAACAAGCCACAAAACCCGACAAAAACCTCGAAAAGCGACGCCACTGATGGGGACCGACGCCCGTTCGCCTGGGAGCCACCAGCAGCGTAGTGGCGCTGGCTTTGGCCGGCAGCTTGGCCGCCTGCGAATGTCCGGGGAGATACTATATGGCTATGAATTTTTTTAGGGGTCTGTAACGCGCGACGCGGTACGAATCTTGTTACGGAGGTCTGTAACGGAGGTCCTTGTTACGCAGGTCTGTAACGGGAAAAAATCCTGACAAGCAGAATCAGGAGCGCATCAACGCAAGCCAAGCTGCGGCAAAAAGCAGGGTCGCTCGCTGGCCCGGGCTGGGGTTGGGTCTGTAACGAGGTGTGTGACGGCTATGTAACCAGGTCTGCAACGAGGCAAAGCAAAGCGCAGTACGCAAAGCGCGCCAAGCTGCGGCAAAAAGGGGGAGCGCTGGCCCGGGCTGGGGTTGGGTCTGCAACGAGGTATGTAACGGCTGTGTAACGAGGTGTGTAACGAGGCAAAGCAAAGCGCAGTACGCAAAGCGCGCCTCCGCAGCACCAACTATTCAACGCACCCAAGCTGCGGCGAAAAGGGGGGGCACTGGCCAGGGCTGGGGTTGGGTCTGTAACGAGGTATGTAACGGCTGTGTAACGAGGTCTGTAACGAGGCAAAGCAAAGCGCAGTACGCAAAGGGCGCCTCCGCAGCACCAGCTATTCAACGCAAGCCAAGCTGCGGCAAAAAGGGGGGGGCGCTGGCCCGGGCTGGGGGTCTGTAACAAGGTATGTAACGACTATGTAACGAGGTCTGTAACAAGGCAAAGCAAAGCGCAGCACGCAAAGCACGCCTCCGCAGCTCTATTCAACGCAAGCAAAGCTGCAGCAAAAAGCAGGGTCGCTGGCCCGGGCTGGGGTTGGGTCTGTAACGAGGTATGTGACGGCTATGTAACGAGGTCTGTAACGAGGCAAAGCGAAGCACAGTACGCAAAGCGCCTCCGCAGCTCCAGCTTGACTGCAGCTATTCAACACAAGCCAGGCTGCGGCAAAAAGAGGGCAGTCATGTCACTGGCCCGGTTTGTTCATCTGAGGTGTGTAACGAGGGTGTGTAACGAGGGTGTGCCACGAGGGGTGTGTAACGAGGGGTGTGTAACGAGCCAGCTGGTCTTGTTACAGAGGTCTGTAACGAGGTCTGTAACGAATGTCCGCCGCGGCTCTGTTACAGACCCCTCAAAAAAATTCACTGCCATATGTATATATATATATATAAACACATATTTGTCTTTTATGTATTTGTGCATTTGCATATACAGCCTGGCACCCCGTATGGCTGCTTGTTTTTCGGTCAATTTCCCGTATTTGGCCGTATTTGCCCGTGTGGCCATGTTCTTTTTCTGGTCATTTGCGTAAATCACCTGTATGAAACCTATATGTTTTAGACATGTTGTTCAAACTAAATACCTCCTTTTTTAGAAGACATACCCTCAAAAAAGAGGGTATTTGGAGTAGGGGGTATATATATATATATATATATTAGGCCGTGAACGCCCCCCCTCCCCCCCCTGTGGGGGTGGGGTGGGGTGGTGGGGTGGTGGGGTGGTAGGGTGGTGGGGTGGTGGGGTGGTGGGGTGGTGGGGTGGTGGGGTGGTGGGGTGGTGGGGTGGTGGGGTGGTGGGGTGGTGGGGTGGTGGGGTGGTGGGGTGGTTGGGTGGTTGGGGTGTGGTTGGGGTGTGGTTCGGAGTTGGTTTAGGCTTGGTGGGTTGGTTTAGGGTTGGTTCAGGGTTGGTTTGCGGTGGGTTTCGGGTAGGTTTGGGGTTTGGGTTGATTTAGGCTTAGGGTTGGGGTTAAGGAGGGGTTGCAGGGTGGTTTGGTTTAGGGTAGGATGTTGGGGTGAAAGGGGGAGTCTGGGACTGAAGCTGCAGGGCGGTACTGGACAGCATCCCCAGCATTGCCAGCATCATCCCCAAGATGCAGATGATGCGGGGGAGTGGGGGGACCATACCATTGGGGGGGGGGGGTACGTGGCCCAGGGACTGGTACATATATATATATATACATATTTAGTGTCTTATATGTATTTGTAGTATACATATATATATATATATATATACACATATGTAGTGTCTTATATTTGTAGTATACATGTATAATATATATATATAAATATATATATATATATATATATGTATATATATATGTGTTCCGTGTTGCTACCCCCCCCCCCCCCCCATATGGTATGGTCCCCCAGGACCCCCCCCCGGACCCCGAGCCCCCGGATCCTGGCACCTACGGTCCCACCCCCACCCCGACCCCCTGAACTCGCACCCCGACACCCCGGCACCCCCACCCCCAGGACAAGCCAACCCGCAACCAACCATAAACCAACCCTAAACTAACCCTAAATACACCCTAAACCAAACCCTAAACCGTAGACCTCTAAACCTAAACCAACCCTAAATCAACATAAACCAACCCTAAACTAACCCTAAACCAACCCTAAACTAACCCCAAATACACCCTAAACCAATCCCTAAACAATAAACCCTAAACCTAAACTAACCCTAAACTAACCCTAAACCAACCCTAAATACACCCTAAACCAACCCTAAACCGACCGTACACCTCTGAACCTAAATCAACCCTAAATCAACATAAATCAACCTAAATCAACCCTGAACCAACCCTAAACTAACCCTAAATACACCCTAAATATACCCTAAACCAATTCTAAACCAACCCTAAACCACCACAACCCAACCACAGGACCACAACCACAGGGGGGGGGGGCGGGTACTTGCCTGACCCATGACCATTGGGGGGGGAGGGGGGGGGGGCTGGCAACGCTGTACCATATATATATATATATCATTGTATGTTATTGCAAATTATTGCATACTATTGTATATTGTATACAATTGTATGCATATACATATTCCTACATATGTATTTCTGGGGCTAAAGCGAAAAGGACGCCGCACCAATGTTTTCCCCGCGGATTTGCTTGGCCGCCGCTCAGCTGCTCCTGTTGTTCCCTTCCTTCAGCACGCGAGACCGGCGCCAACAGAACCAGACTACATGTTCGCTGGGGGTACGGGATTTTGACCCATGGCCAAATGAGACAAATGTCCAGTAGTGAAATCGATTTCCTTTAAAGCCAGAGGAAAATTCACTGCTTAAGACGATCGACCATAAACCTGCTTTTGGGATGCTCCGAGCACCCAAGGCAAAAGGTCGTGCTCTCGAGACCTGTTTTTTTGTGGTGGAACGGAACAACCTTTTGGGTGTGGCTCAAAATTAAACCGGAGGGGCAAACCGCAGGTTTTGGTCCATGTGTCCACTTACCAGGGGTTCCATTTTGGAATTCCGGTTTTTTGAGCCACAGCCATTTGGGCTTCCAAAAGATTTGAGGGGCGATTTGGTCACACCCACTGTGGAGTTCACCTGCTATTCCCTTCATTCAGCACGGGCTGTGCAGTCCAGATATGCGCCATCCACGTCACAACGTCCCCAGAATCGATCTCAGCTGCTCCTGCACCTGGCGGCTGTCTCCGCCGAATTCTGGATTACCCCAGGTCACAACAGCCCCAGATTCAAGGATGGCAGCAAAAGCACCACAAAGTGTTGATTGGATATGCTGCTGCTCTTGCACCTGGCGGTTGTCTCCGCCCATGTCTGGAAAGCCCCAGGTCACAACAGCCCCAGATTCAAGAATGGCAGCGAAAGCACCACCATACTCACGACTTCTTGCTTGGATGCACCGGGCGTTCTTCAGCTGCTCTTGCACCTGGCTGCTGTCTCCGCCGTATTGTAGATCACCCCAGGTCACAACAGCTCCAGATTCAATAATTGCAGCAAACGCCTTTACCTGTTGCTTGGACGTGTTGGACGTTCCTCAGCTGCTCTTGCACCTGGCTGCTGTCTCCGCCATTTTCTGGACGACCCCAGGTCACAACAGCCCCAGATTCAAGGATGGCAGCAAAAGCACCGCCAGTTGCTTGGATGTGCTGAACGTTCCTCAGCTGCTCCTGCACCTGGCTGCTGTCTCCGCCAAAACTGGCATGTCGCCAGGTCACAGCAGCCCCAGATTCAAGGATAGCCGCAAAAGCAAACTGTGTTGCTTGGATGTGCTGGACGTTCCTCAGCTGCTCTTGCACCTGGCGGGTGTCTCCGCAGCAGGCAGGATGGCCCCAAGCGACAACCACAGCCTCGTGGCCATGCCAAGCGAATGCCCTGCCTGTGGAAGCCAGTTTGGGAAGCTGCGCAACCGCATCCACCACATCCCCATCGCGCAAGCCAGCCTCACCCAGCGTGGCCGTCAAATCCAGCTGTCGTCCTTTCGCGGTGAGCTTCGAGCGGCGCTGGAAATGCCGTTGCGCTGCAAGCTGCTCGCTGATGTCTCCGGAGAGACTGTGGAGCAACCATCTCTGGGCAAGTGAACATCCAGCTTCTTGGCCTAGGAAGGTTTCAAGCTAGCAAACACCAACCTGAGACGCAAGACTAAGGTTAGAATAAGGTACCCTATTTTTGTCTGCAGTCTTTTGTAGTAGGGGAACCCTCGCCAAAAAAAGGGTACAAGGGCACTACTGGGGGACTTAGGGTTTGTCATGCAGAGTCTTCTTTTGGGTTCATTTCAGGTCAGGCTGAAGCAATATCTAGAAAACGGTTTGGATGTCCACCCCAGGATATCAACAGAGTATCTAAACGATTACTAAAACAAAACCAACAGGGGGAAGAACAGGTGAAATCCACAAAAAGCGCATCCACCCCGTTTTCTAGATATTACTTCAGCCTGACCTGAAACGAACCCAAAGGAAGAATCTTCATGAAAAAAAAATGTGACATCGTAAACGCATAGGTGACCCTTTTGCAAAAATAGATGGCCCTGGTAAATGGAAAAAATAAACCCGTCTAAACCAGGGCCATCTATTCAGCCAAACTAACCTAAAAGGACACCCTATGCGCAAACGATTTCCCGCGCGGCAATATGAAAGCAAGCATTCGGTCCAAGCGGAGATCCTTCTGAAACACGGACAAGCAGGGAAACCACCAAACTGCGAAAAGACATCAGACTGGGGGCAACAAAATATCTTTCCCCAAGCTGGGCTGTCCGTTTTCGGATACCCCGCGAAGAACGACAAACTTGCACTAGGTCCTCCATTGCATTGGAGAGGTTAGAATAAGTTGGTACCAACTTGTTTCTCTGTTTTGTCTATTTTAGGGGAACCGAATCACCCAACCAAAAACAGGGGCGAGAGGTCGGGCACCAATCGCTGGGGGACCGAGTGGCCCCCCCCCCCCGCGCCAGCAGCTGGGCATGCGTCAGCACAGCAGCTGCCACCTCCTCCTGAACAGCGGCAACCTTACGTGGTCTTACTCGAAAAATACGCGTTCGTTTTCTGACTCTCAGACATATTTAGTCTACCCTAATATACCCCTTACTCCAAACACCCACTTTTTTTTAGGGTATTTTTGGGAAAACCTGGTTTTTCAAGGTAATTTAGTAGAGGGTCGACATGATACCCTAAAAAAAGTGGGTATTGGGTGTAATAAGGGGTGTGTAATCTCCTCCCCCAATTAATGAATGACCCCCATTAATAATAAATGCAAATCCGGGGCCCGAGACCAGATTTCCACTCCGCACAATTGATTTTTAATTGCGCCAATACTAAACCAATACTAAAGTCTTGGAATCCTTATTAGGGGGCACTTTTAACAAGCTTCCAGCCCCACTTTTAAGCTGCGACTGTCTCTCCCCCATACATGCTGGCTAACCTGCCTGGCTGCCAACAAACAACCAGTAAACTGAAAAACAAATAGAATGATACATGAAATTTCCTTATTAAACCGCTTACTCGCGGACCTTACAATTCAATCCATTTCCTCCAAATCCTATGCGAACCCTCACATTGTTGGAAAAGCAAAAAAACCCAACCCCGAAAACCCCAATTAAAAAAAAATCTATTTTTGGGAGGATTTATTTATAATAGGGGGGGGGGGGCCGTATTTATTAATAGGGGGAAGAGATTATGTATATATCTATATATATATATATGGCTGGGGGTGCACAACCAATGGTACCCTCAAGAATTCCAACCAACCTTATCAGGGATCCGGATACATGAAAAACACCTGAACCTTGCAACTTGTACATGGCGGCGTCCCGAGATATTTTGCCGGTCCAACTTTATTTTGCCGGAAAAAGAGACATGTTTCAAATGGTTGCAAAATGAATTTCTTTTAAGGAGCCCTTCTCAAAAACGCGTGTTCGTTTTCTGACTCTCAGTCATATTCAGTCTACCCTAACATATATAATAGTTTTCCGGGCTGCTCCCAGATCCCCTGCTGCTGGTGAAGTGGAAACTACAAACCCACTAAGAACAACTAAAAACCTAAGGAACCGGACGCTTGGGAACCACCAAGTGTTGAAGAAGACCCTGAATATGTGTGGTGATTCTCCTAAAGACCCTTACATCTCTTGCGAGACCGCTGAAGATTATCCTATTGCTTTTTGGACCCCTGTTGCCTGCTTTTGGCCAGATTTGGAATGTCTGCCTGAAATCTGAAGGCAAAAATCAAGGAAACCCACAAGGTGAGTGGAGCCTTCATCCAAATCTTCACGAGAAATCTCTTTTTTGTTTTGCCACCTGGGATGACCTTTGGAAAACTATCAATAACAATGACGTGTCAACCATTAAATGGGAAGAAAAGTTAACCAAGGCTGGGTCCCCCAGTAGAGAGGGTGGAATCAGGGCACCCTTTTTTTGTAGTCTATTTTAGTGTGAGAACCTTCCCCAAGAAAAAAGGGTAAAAGGTCACTTCTGGGGGACCTAGAAGGCATTTGGGGGGCCCAGAGGAATCTCGTGCAGTTCTCCGCCGAGAATGAAATCACCCGTCAGATTCCTAGGCCGTCTTTGCGGGCGGGGATCCTCCATGGCAAATCCTAGTCGCTCAGACGGGCAGAATACCCCCGCAACCTCCAAATACCCGGCCTTTTTCTGGGGCACTTTTTGAAAAACCTGGTTACCTCCTTTTTTAGTAGAGGGTCGACATCATACGACGGGCAGAATAGTTGCATAACATTTGGCTGTGGCTCAAAAAGCCGGAATTCCAAAATGGAACCCTGGTAAGTGGAAACATGGACCAAAACCTGGGTAACCCCTCCGGCTTAATTTTGAGCCACAGCCATTTGGCTGTGGCTCAAAACCGCTTCGGGCTCCCATTTTGGGGTAGGTGAATTCACCACCCATTTTAGAACCTATTTTAGTGGTTGGATTGGTTGATGTTCACTGGGGGAGAACCGATTTGGATTTTGAAGAGCCCATGGCCACTTCCTTGTGGCCGTGGCTGTCGAAGATTTTCCCTGCGCCCCCTCGCTTCTGCCAATCGGAGGTAGCCAACAGCCGCTCCACTCCCCGGAAAAAGAACCGTAGAGCCAACAGAGATTCTGTCCATGATCCAAGCATGAAACCCTCAACGTTTCCTCGTTTGTTTGCCGTTAGTAAAATTGATCACCAACTCCTGCTCATTTGCGAGCCGCTCAACCAAACACCAGATGAAAACTGTGTCACCCTTTCTTTTTGCGGCTTCTTTTTGGTATCAGAGAAAGTTCTAGGGGTGGATTCCCCATTCTTTTCCACCATGGTTTCCCCCCAGTGGTTTTGTTTGGATGGTGTCCAAAGATTCGGATCCCCGGAAGAATCTGCGGAAGCTTCCCCGCGGAATCTCAGCGCCGCGTCTTTCTTCGTCCTCCTGGGACTCTTCCAGCGAGACCACGGCCAAACCCCCCGACCTGGCGTCTCCCAGCGAGGCCTCTTCTTGCGCCGAAAGAATCGGGGCCTTGGGGCCTTGGGGTAAGTCCCCCTGAAAAGATCATAGCCTAGTGATCTGCGAAGCTTGAATTGGTGGCTAGGTCTGAAGCTTTGTGGGCGTAGAGCTGGGGGCCCCCTTCCCCCCAGTTTCAATCAAAAGAAGTGAAGGGAAACCAACAGGAAACCGAAGCCCCATGTATTGCGGGTCTTCGCGGCCAGGCCCCCAACACGAACTTCTTCGTCGCTCCTGTGAGTTTCGGGCGGACCCGCGAAATCTAGACCAAAAGGATCAGCCATTAACTTGGTTGACGTTGGAAGGAAAGCACAAAAAATAGATTTTAGCAGTTAAGAGGATTTGGATTTCAACCACTAAACCACAAGAAGCAAAAATTAAAAAAAAAAATGTTTCCCAACAACAACCATGGGCCGGCGGCTTGGATTTCCAGATCGCTTTTGGCAGGGCCCCTTCATCATTTCGCCAGAGGTACGGCTAGGTGGTCAGAACGCATGGCCCGCGTTCTAATGGCGCAAAATTCGGGTGCCGTCTCCCTCAGGACTCAAAGTGAACATGGGATGGCCCATTTTGGGGAAGGACCGAATGCCATTTTTAAAGGGTCCGTAGTTGGAGACTCCAGGCACATGGCCCACCATTATTTTGGGGAAGGACCGAATGCCATGTTTAAAGGGTCCGTAGTTGGAGACTCCAGGCACACACACACACAGACGCACCAAAATTTGGGCACTGCGCAGTGTTTTGCCAGGCCAAGCTTGCTCCCACCCCCAGCAAAACGCCCCCAAACACACCGATCCCAGTTTTTGGGCTGCCTCCGTCTTCCGCGATTGAATGGCGGTCGTGAATCACGCTGAGGCGTAAGGAAATCTTCATGCTAAGCGTAGGTCGACTCAGAGTCGACTCAAAACCAAAAGGCGAGGGATCTGAAAAAGTCTCGTGAGGAACCCTTTCAGGGGAGAACCAAACCTGTGTGTCTTGTTTGTCTCTTCTTCGGAACCCCAGAATTGTTCCTTTGGTGTGCCTTCAAAACCTCAAAAGACCCCAGCGTCATCACTTTCACTTTTTCGACTGTACCATACTGACGTACGCGTGCCGACGGGACCAAATAAGAGGTGATTATGGGGGCACTGAACATGGAGTGCAAAAGGGAAAACAAAAGGTCAACGGGTCGGCGTTGGGCAAGTGACTGCATTTTGGTTCCCATTGTAGAACCAGAAAAAAAGGTACCCCTAAACCATGACTCACACGCACATGCATGTCGTTATCTTGACTACAGTCGCGAATGGTGAAGATTGACTGTTCATCACCTCTATCTTCCTTGACGCCCAAAAACCTAACTACAAGCAACAATTACAATTGCGGAGATAATCTATTATGTTCTTCTTCCAAACACACTCTTTTGACTCTTTGATCAGGTTCATCCCAGATCCAAGCCTAGCTGCTCCTGCACCTGGCCGCTACCACCGCCGAATGTAGGATCACCCCAGGTCACAACAGCCCCAGATTCAAGAATGGCTGCAAAGGCACCCATCTGGTTTGCCTGGACGTGCTGGACATTCCTCAGCTGCTTTTGAACCTGACTGCTGTCTCCACCTCTGCTTGAATGACCCCAGGTCACAACAGCCCCAGATTCAAGAATGGCAGCAAAAGCACCACCAAACCGATATCTAGTTGCTTGAATATGCTCGACGTTCCTCAGCTGCTCTTGCACCTGGCTGCTGTCTGCAACGAATTCTGGATGACCCCAGGTCACAACAGCCCCGGATTCAAGAATGGCAGCAAAAGCATGGCCAGTTGCTTGGATGCAATGGACGTTCCTCAGCTGCTCTTGCACCTGGCTGCTGTCTCCGCCAAAACTGGCATGTCCCCATGTCACAACAGCCTCAGATTCGAGAAGGGCAAGAAAAGCACCACGAGTTGCTTGGATTCGCTTGACGTTCCTCAGCTGCTCTTGCACCTGGCAGCTGTCTCCACCCATGTCTGGAAAGCCCCAGGTCACAACAGCCCCAGATGCAAGAATGGCAGCAAAAGCAGTGTCAGCCGCTTGGATGTGCTGAACGTTCCTCAGCTGCTCCTGCACCTGGCTGCTGTCTCCACCAAAACTGGCATGTCGCCAGGTCACAACAGCCCCAGATTCAAGAATGGCAGCAAAAGCACTGTCAGTTGCCTGGATGTGCTGGACGTTCCTCAGCTGCTCTTGCACCTGGCTGCTGTCTCCGCCGTATTGTAGATCACCCCAGGTCACAACAGCTCCAGATTCAAGAATGGCAGCAAAAGCATGCCAGTTGCTTGGATGCAATGGACGTTCCTCAGCTGCTCTTGCACCTGGCTGCTGTCTGCCCCGAATTGTGGATTACCCCAGGTCACAACAGCCCCAGAGTCAAGAACGGCAGCAAAAGCATGGCTAGTTGCTTGGATGCAATGGACGTTCCTCAGCTGCTCTTGCACCTGGGTGCTGTCTCCGCCATCATCTGGATCAGCCCAACTCACAACCTCGCCCCCGTGGCCATGCCAAGCGAATGCCCTTCTTGCGGCAGCCAGTTTGCCGCGCTGAACAACTGCAGTCACCACGTCCCCCTCGCGCAGCCCGGCCTCACTTAGCGTTGCCGCCAAATGGAGCTGGTGGCCTTTCGCAGTGAGCTTTAAGCGGCGCTGGAAGTGCTTCTGCGCTGCATCCTTCAGCTCGCTGACGTGCGTCTCTGGTAAGACTTCTATGGAACAACCATCTCCACTGGGCAAGTGAACATCAACCTTCATGGCGCAGGCAAGGTCTTCCGAGTGCATTCAAGTTGCAACACAACACATGGGAATCACATGAAAATTGAGCAAGATCCAACACATTGAATGGCTATTGAAGGGATGCATTGCATCCCCCCGGTTTGCGAGGCCTCAAACCCTTCACCCTTCGAACATCCTTCATTCTAAGGGTACTTTCCCCATTCTTCCCCGGGATCCTTCTTTCTAGACAACCTCTCCAGAAACCCAGGTGGAAAACGATGGTTAAAAAGAATGAACAAGGAATGAACCCCTAGATTTACATAACAGGACACCCTGAGCGTGCGCTGTTCTATGGTGTTTACATGTATGTATATATATATATATATAACATTATAACGATATGTTTGACGTTTTCCCCAAATAAAAACACAACCACAAAACCACGAATGGTTGGAATGGGCCATTCGGAACGATTTCTGGGTCTTGAGCCGTGACGACCTTAGCGAGGCTTCAACCGGAGATCCGATGTCCAACCTCGACGGCTTCAACCTGCCTGGACCCTTCTGGGGCCAGAAACGCCAACCTCGGATTCATAAACCCCCAGTTGCTCAACAGCGGGGTGGAGGCGTTTTCCCTGGGTTGAATGGAATGAGACCACTTTTGGTGCGGGGATTCAGACCACTTGACGGGAGACCCCCAACGCCGAGAAAGAAATCAGCCTGTTCTACCAAGCCAGGCCATGCCCATAGTATCTCACTTTCAAGGGACTCCCTCGGTACAGAAATTGGCCTTTCCCAATTTGGGTGTCTTTTAGGCAAGCGTTTTGTGGGGCGTTCTCACTTGCCCGCTATGGCTCCCAAGACGAAACTTGCTGGTTCTCAGCAGGGATGGAGAAATGGAATGACCCCCAAAAAAACAAAAAAAAACACTGTCTCGGTCATTCCCTAGTGAGCACCAGGCCTTTTGCGCATGGAGCGCAAAAGGTCGGATCTGGTCGATTTGCTTCGGGTGAGCCCAGGGAAAACCATCTTGGTCATCTTAACCCCGGATGAATCAACTGGTTTATGTTGATCAGGACGAGTCCCTTACTAGTGGTTGAATTCAGACCACTTGTGAAGGGGCCCCCACCCCCTAATCATAGCCCAGTGCTTTCAGTTACCACTACACTAGGTCACCAAGTAGTTTTACCTCCGGGTTTTATCATGGTTTCCGCGGGTTGCACCACCACCAAAAAAAACACTATTTGTTTCTTTAGAAAAAGGTCCCTCCCAAAAAAATATAATGTTGACAGTGTGTTAGAAATCCCCCCCTATTAGTCCGGTCCGGGTGGACCCCCCCAATACTAAACAATTCATATCTCAGAAAATACCCCCCAAATAAAAAATGATGCAAAACAACCCCCCCCCCCCAATTAGACCGGTCCCTCCCCCAGATGGCTGCTGCTATCTCATTTTCTCCACTGCTTCTTGAGCTCATTACAATGTAAACTGTTTTTTGGTGCTAGCTGATGCTGCTGATGTTGAATCGACTCATGCTGCTTGCCATGCTTTCTCTGAATGGTGTGCTGAAAAGGTGCTTTGTCTCAAATGGGCTCATGCTTTCTTCTGGTACCTTTCTCTTCATGCTGCTGCCTTGCTTAGGGCTCTCATCTCCACCTCCTACTCTCATCTTGAAGCTTGGTGGATACTTTTGGGCCTGCCCAAACCACAAAACAAAAAGTGTTCTGAGATGGTCGATTTTTATTAAATTCTTTACTAAACACATCAAGTTTAGAAGGTTTCAAAGAGCACCCCACATTGGCCCCTAACACCCCCAATTAATAATCCCCCCCTAATTAGTGCGGTCCATCGGCCCCACCCCCCAAAGGAAGCTCCAGCAATACTAAATCAAATGGAAATTCAATTCCAGATCTCAAAAGGAAGCTCCAGCAATACTAAATCAAATGGAAACTCAATTCCAGATCTCAAAAGGAAGCCCCAGCAATACCAAATCAAATGGAACTCAATTCCAGATCTCAAAAGGAAGCCCCAGCAATACTAAATCAAATGGAAACTCAATTCCAGATCTCAAAAGGAAGCCCCAGCAATACTAAATCAAATGGAAACTCAATTCCAGATCTCAAAAGGAAGCCCCAGCAATACTAAATCAAATGGAAACTCAATTCCAGATCTCAAAAGGAAGCCCCAGCAATACTAAATCAAATGGAAACTCAATTCCAGATTATTTAGGGGGTCAAGGCAAAAAACCTTCCAAAATCTTGCCCCCCCAAAACCTTCCAACCTTCAAGGGGGGGGGTTACAGACTAATACGGGGTCAACATTAATATATATATATATATATATAAATACGGTTCTTCCTCCGGCGTCAACTTGCAACCCCACTGGGACCCCAATTTTCCCGAGCCTCAAGGCGCCCTCAGCCCAAGGGCAGAGACCCTGGCGGACCACCACACGCTCCACCTGGGCATCTCGTTGCGCGCGCCTAGGAAATCTCCGCAAATGCTCAGTTGCCCAAAGGCCCTGTGTCTGTGTCTGTGTAGTGGGTGAGTTGGTGGGTAGGTACGTGCCTTCCTGCATGCCTGGAAATCAAAAGCCGATCTTTCTTTGAAATGTCCTAAGAGGCCTCACAATGGAGGGCCGCAATGATCCTTGATCTTACTGGGCTGCCCGTTTTCAGATCCCCCGCTAAAAGTTTAACGAATTTTTAGCGGGTTCAATACGGAAACTACCTCTAAACAATAAAAGGTCAAAAGCTAAGGCACCGGATGGCCTTCGGGAGCCACCAAGAAAAGGTTAACCTCTTGGTGCCATGACTAAAAATGGGCCAACATTGGACCAGCGAGAGTTGTGGGATCCGGAAGCAATTCTCGAAATGGGCCGAGCCGGGGCGCCCCTCAACCGCTCCCTCGTCAAAAGCCAAGTTGGCTACCCCAACGGCTCCCTCCATTTGGGCCACTTGGGGTTCTCCAACCCTTAGCCCTTAAAACTCCAAGCCCTGGGGAAGTTTTCATCTTTTACAGACACACAGCCCATGTCACCCAAAAAGTTGAAAAGTTGTGCTTTTTAAGAGGCAAGAATCGAATCGCTTCTCAAATGTCGAAAGCTGGTAGACAAAGGATTCACACTGCGGATGGTGGCGAAATCCGCGAGAAACGC